AAACTTCCTCTTATTTTTACGATTTAATTTAAATTCACTGCGAGAGCAACCAGCTCAGTTTCATCCCAGCTTTCTGTTTCAGGTTTATGTATTTGCCATTCAAACAGGCAAATCCCTGGAATTCATTTCACAGGACATTGACCAAAGGGAATGTGGAATAATGTTCTTTGGGGTTTGACATATGATCAAGTGCAGGTTTGCTATGAGGAAAGAGGACAAACAACAGCCTTGAAATGGGTAAAACCCTCCACAGCAACCACTTTATTTGAGCATATTGGTTAATRCACAAATAAAGTTATTTTATTAGTGTTGGCTTCCCTCTTGTGGCAATGAACAAACTGTAGCCCTAATACCTAACCAGACCTGCTGCTCTCCTCTGCTTTATTTCCTCCAGAGCCACTTGCACATTTCCATAATTTGAGTGACATTTGTGAATTTACAATGATTTTTTTTCCACAGCAGCGTGTGTGAGAAGGTACCACTGCTATTAATAAACTATGTTTCATCAACAGAATGGAGAGCTATTTATAAAGGATGTTGGCATCTTGCTTTTTTTTTGCAGATGGGGGAACTGAGGTGCAGAATAATTAGAAGCCAATCAGCAGGTCCAAAGTGGGGCTGAAAATAGATCTCAAATCTCCTGAGCCTCAGGGCTTCAGTTCTGCCAAGGTGGGACATGGTGACACTCAGCTATTGGTGCCACCTACCCCATGCCTGTTACTCTCACAGTTTTCCAAAACAGTTCTTTTTACCTCTGATATTTCATCACTRTCCTCTGAAGACAAATAAATAAATTAAAAATTATTTTATTTAATCAAATAGTCTCTAATACAATCCAAGTGAGCCCCCATCACCTTTTCTAGGTGAAGAATTACATATCAGTGTTTCTTTCACCAACCAGCTCATCCTTAAATTATTTTTTTCTGGTGTTCTAGAGCATCTTAAAAGGATTTAGATTATTTTTAAAGTCTACAAGCATGTACTTATGGTTTTATCCCCGTTTTACAATGGTTATGTGGAAAATAAACAAAGCCTCCACGAGCTCCCCGGAAGTATCACATGCAAAACAAAATAMTAATGATTAATCTTTTTCCTACATAACAACACAAGACAGAAACCTCCCTTGGAGGGCAGGAGAATGTAGGTTCAGGTGCTTGATTTTGCAAATATCCCCACAAAAAGCTTCCAGGGGAGTGTTGTGGTGCTGAGGGTAGAAGTTTAGTGCCCCTGTTTGGAACTCCCCTAACGGTTTTTGTGGTTTGCAATCATTCTTTCCGGTTTGCAGGGGCAAAAGGGTTTTCTGTCCCCTGTCGCTGTGTGAAAAACCCCATTACAGGAAAATGAGTCAGGCCATGCCTGGGCAGGGAGATTTCAGTGGTGGGTGGGCACCGGCTCCGTCCCCAGGGAGCACTTGATTTACCTGCCCAAGCAGAACTGCTTGTGAGGCAGAGGTGTGGAAAACACCCACTTGGATGGGATTCAGCACCAACTGTGCCTCTGGAACCCTCGGGAAAGAGGGAGAAACCCCAACAAATCCCCACCAATCCCTGCCCCACTCCCTCCAGCAGCTGCAGGAACCAGCCCATGGTTGTGATCRGGGTGGGTTCACTCACAGCTTTTTGGGGCCACGTCCTCAGGGATGACGTGGGGCACCAGGAGAGGAAAACTTCTCCACTGCTGGTAGACACCAAAGTTTTTACGGAGTAACTCGTCGGGAAGTTGTTTTCAGCTGCACCCTGGCTCCTCTGGGACTCCCTGGTGCCCCATCCTGGGCTCAGGCAAAGGAAAAGCATTGGGTGCAATGAGGGAATAATGGGTGGGGAACAACAGGCATGAGTTTGGGTTTCAGCGGTGCTGTGAGGTGAGGGAGAGGAGCACCTCGTGTTTTCAGCACCGCTTAAAACCCTGGGCTCATGAGTTTGATCATTAGAGGGGTTCGGGGGTGGTTTTGGGGTTCTTTTCAAAGCTCTGGCCCTGTGGAGGGTGAGCCTGGTGTGTTTGGTGGCACTGACATGCTGCTCTCTCCCCTCTGTAAGGGGGTTGTTGAAAACCTCATCTTTTCATCTCAGCAAGGTGTTTGTGCAGTTGGGCAAGTCTTGCTCCGGTTTTTATGACACCTCCTGAAGCTGGGCCCCAAGAGAAACGCCTCCACAGCACCACCAAGGCCTGAGAATTTCTAGAGGTTTCTCAGTGAGAGGAAAATAAAACACACTTTGCATGACTTCAGTTGTGAAGTGACTCAGCAGGAGAAAAAAAGTCATTTTTTTCTTTCCCCACACGAGTAAAAAGAGCACTTTGAGGTCACAACCCTGSAAGCACGAAAGGGGCAGACCCACAAGGGAATGTTCTTCCATGTTCTTCCTGAGCTTCCAGATGTTCAGGTGCTCATTAAGTGACCAAACTGAAAAGAGGGACATGCTGAAATGTCAAATGGTGAGTGAGGGGCAATATGGGGAATTGAATTGCTTTGCAGGAGGAAAAAACCTCCTAAAAACTCCCATGTGTGACAATGGAGGACTCCATTATTGTGACAGATTTCCAAATATAGGGAACGGTTTTATCCAGGCTTAAATTTTCCTTCCAGTGTAAGGCATCAAGGTACAAATTGTTTAACACCTGTGGAATTTTACTGGTCTAAAATTAGGTTGTGAAAGGTGCTCTGATTTTARTTCCCAAAAGCATTATCAGGCTTTGAGCCAGTCCCCAGTTCAGTAAAGAAGCCTCAGCACTCAGTGATTTCCCTGGCCTCAAAAAGCCAGATTTTCTGTGTTTTAAAATGCTGCAAGATCACAGAGTATTCTGGAAAAATACTAAAATAATTTGGGACATGAAACCACATTTAGAGTAAATCCATTTGAAAACAAAAGTGCAGGCACATTATCACAAGAAGAAAAAAAAATRAAAAAACCAAACCTGATTTTTGCCAAAGAAAAGCAAAGATTTTTCTGCATTCTAGGTGTGCTTTTCTCAGTGGTGTAGTTATTAAAGTTATTGAAAAGCACAATGATAGAATTCCAGAGTGATTTGGGTTGGAAGGGACCTCAAAGCCCATCCAGTGCCACCCCTGCCATGGCAGGGWCACCTCCCACTGTCCCAGGCTGCTCCCAGCCCCAATGTCCAGCCTGGCCTTGGGCACTCAAAGGGATCCAGGGGCAGCCACAGCTTCTCTGGGCACCCTGTGCCAGGGCCTGCCCACCCTCCCAGGGAACAATTCCTGCCCAATATCCCATCTGGCCCTGCCCTCTGGCACTGGGAAGCCATTCCCTGGCTCCTGTCCCTGCAGCGCTTGTCCCCAGTCCCTCTCCAGCTCTCCTGGAGCCTCTTCAGGCCCTGGCAGGGGCTCTGAGCTCTCACTGGATCCTTCCCTTCTCCAGGATGAACAATCCCAGCTCTCCCAGCCTGTCAGTTTGTATCTCAGTTATATTAGGCTCAAACCCGTCCTTGTGCCTTTGGGTATCAGCCCGGAACGGCTCCAGGGAGAGAGATGGGAATGAAATCCCAAAAGCCAGGTTAAACCCAGTTGGAGACACTGCCTGTTCCTGCTGGGACGCTGAGCTGCGTTTCCTGAAGAGCCTCACTCGAACTCTGTTACTCTGTTCTGCCGTCCTGAAACGATCCCTGCGCTTGGATCTCGTAGCGAGAGCAGCACCTAGCGCTTGGCTGCTGCCCTGCAGAATTCCCGCAGCCATCCATCCGCGCCAGCTCCGCATTTCCACGGCAGCCACCGCCCGAGCCCGGCACCGTGCGGCCACCAGGACTGCAGCTCTGCGGAGAGAAAACCATGGAGGAGTTAGGGAGGGGAAGACTCGAACCATTCCACATAACTCAGCAGAGGCGGGAGCCGAGCGAGCTGCTCGAGGTGACACAGACAGAGGGACAGAGCTGCCTTGTTCCACCTGGAAGATGTTGGGACGTACTTTATCCAAGGGGAGGACATAATTCCTGCCTTCTGGAGGTTTCTGTGAGGGAAGCACAGCTGGGGCCGAGTCTGGAAGAACTCCTGGGATGCTACATTCGCTCTCCTGAATAGAAGGACAGGTGGGGCTGAGGCAGGTGCAGCCTGGAGATCCATGGGGGAGCTGAGATCCACCTGCAATCCCTGGAGATCCATGGGGGAGCTGAGATCCATCCGCAGTCCCCGCAGATCCACGAGGGAGTTGGGATCCACCTGCAGTCCCTAGAGATTCACAGGGGAGCTGAGATCCACCCGCAGCCCCTGAGCAGGGGGATGTTCAAAAGAAGGTGTGACCCCGTTGGAATTCTGCCCTGGAGCAGCTCCTGGCAGGGATCTGTGCCCGGTGGAGACAGGAGCATGGCTGGAGCAGGTTTGGTGGGAGAGCTTGGGATCCCATGGAAAGAGACCCACACTGGGGCAGTTCCTAAAGGACTGACCCCATGGGGAAAGGGAGCAGTTCCTGAAGGACTGACCCCATGGAAAGGCGCCCACACAGGAGTAGCCTGATCCCAAAGAACTGATCCTATGGGAAGCACSCATGCTGGAGAAGTCCATGGGGGACACCAGGGCACTGGGACACCATGGGGACAGGCACACTGGGGGCATAGATAAGGATAGAGACATTGACAGTGACACTGMGGGCAAAGGGACAGTCGGGGGCAAAGAGACACCGTGGGCACAGGGACATCAGGCTCAGAGATACTGGGCAAAGGGACACTGACAGTGACATTGTGGGCACAGGAACACTGAGGATCATAGGGACAGTGAGGGCACACAGAAAATGCAGGAACACTGGGGACACAGGGACACCACAGAAACCCCACAGGGACACTGGTGGCACAGGAACATCACAGGGACACCGTGGGCACAGGGACCCCACAGGGACCCCAYAGGGACCCCACAAGGACACTGGTGGCACAGGAGCATCACGGAGTGGGCGCGCGGCTCGAAAGCGCGGCCCCGCGGAACTACAGCTCCCAGCGTGCCCCGCGGCAGGAGCGGCCGCAGGCGGCGCGGGGATGTGCGCGTGGCTCCGCCGCGCCTGCGCAGTGCGCGGTGACCCTGAGGGGCGGCCGGGGAAACATGGCGGCGGCGGCCGGGCTCATCGTGAAGGTGAAACTGAGGGGGCGGTGGGGCCTGGGTGGCTTTTGAGGGGGTCCTGTCCCGCCCTCCAKCCCCGCGCGGGGTCTCGAACCTTCTCCTTTCCCACCATCCTCGAGGGCTGCGTCGACACCGCCATTCTCCCCCTTATCCCCCCAGGTGCGGCAGCTGAGTACGACGGCGGCCAGACCGGTGTCCAAGCTGGTTAAGGTGAGGGTGCACCAGGGTCGTGATGAGGGCGGCAGGGGCGTTATCAAATTGAGGGGACAKGGAGGGTTTCAAAGGTGGTGGAGATAAGGGGTCAGGGGGCGTTTTGGCGGGGTGTCCGTGCTGGTCAAGGTGACAGGGCTGASGCGGTCAAGGCGGTGTCCGAGGTGGTCACGGTGGGGCGAGGGTGAAGGGCTGTCTCCCGGCTGGCCCGGTGGGGGGGGTCTCTCCCCGAGTCCCCCCGCTCAGCCGCCCCGCTTTGTTCCCGCAGCCGCCCATCCAGGTGTACGGGCTGGAAGGGCGCTATGCCACCGCCCTCTACTCGGCAGCCAGCAAGCAGAARAAGCTGGAGCAGGTGGAGAAGGAGYTGATGCGTGTGTGGGTAAGGTGTTCCACAGCCGGGGCTCCTGGGTTTGGGAGCAGGGGGGCATCCCTGCTGTTCCACAGTGGGGAGGGCACTGGGCTCCTGTAACCTGTGAGACTCCCAGCCCATTGGCACCGGGACTGCCTGCYCTGTGCCCTCGGTGTGCAAATGGGTTATTGGGCAGGAATTGTYCCCTGGGAGGATGGGCAGGCCCTGGCACAGGGTGCCCAGAGAAGCTGTGGCTGCCCCTGGATCCCTTTGAGTGYCCAAGGCCAGGCTGGACATTGGGGCTGGGAGCAGCCTGGGACAGTGGGAGGTGTCCCTGCCATGGCAGGTGTGGGACTAGGTCCATCTAACCTTTAAAGTCACTTCCAAACCAAACCATTCCCTGATTCTATAGCTAGAGCTGCTGCTTCACTTCCCATCARCTCAAGAGCTCTTTGTTCTCACTCCAGTGTTGCCTGTCCTGGCTGCTCTGGGTGGGCTTTGTGATGCCTGGAAAAATCCTGGCCTTTGTCACATCTTTGTGTGTCCCCTCAGAGCCTCCTGAAGGACCCCAAGCTGGCCAGTGTGGTAATGAACCCTCACACCAAGGGCTCAGTGAAACAAAAAGCCGTGAATGATGCCCTGGCAAAAGAGAGGATGTCCCCAATCACTGTCAACCTGATGAGTGAGTGACCTCTGGGCCTCAGGGAAGCATCCCAGCAGTGCCATCTGTTGGAATTGCTGTGGGYTGCCCAAATCTGCCTCTGGTGGTGCTTTACCCCTTGACGTGCGGGTTTTTTACAGATCTGCTGGCTGAGAACGGCCGCCTGCGTTACACCCCAGGCATCGTCTCTGCCTTTGCAAAGATCATGAGYGCCTTCCGAGGAGAGGTGGTGTGCACAGTCACCACGGCACAGGTGGGCAGGGTGTCACGGTGGGGCTGTGAAGGGAGGTGCCATGGTGGGTCTGGGCGCGGTCACCATGGCACAGCTGGGCTGGGCAGCTCTGGATCAAGGCATCAGCGAGTGGGGGAAAAGACAAACCCGTCCTGGTTAATGCTGMGCTCTGGGATTGAAGAACTTGCTGTGAGAACAGCGAGGACATGTCTCACCTCTGCCAAGCTGCACAAATTGCTRMAAAGAGGGGGTTGATATCCAACAGTTCCTGCTCCACAATGAAACCTGTTCATCCCATTGCAGCTCAAAAGGCCACGTTTTTCCTTCCTTTGTGTGAACCCAGGGACTGACAAAAATCAGGCTGATCTGCACATAGAGCTGCCCCTGTTCTTTGAAACAGGAAAATGTTTCATGAAATAAGGAGGGCACAACGTGGTGGTTGCTCCTGTGTTGCCCTTGGGTTATCCCTGTTGCAGAAAGCTGCCTTCCTGGTAGAAGTTTGTCTTCAAAGAGACCTGAGGAGAAAATCTGGGTCCTTGTTCTATTACTTGAATATTTTTAAGTCCTTCATTTTCTTTCTCTTCTGTTCTTCTTTTCCAGCCCTTGGATGAGGCCAGCCTCACTGAACTGAAAAGTGCTCTGAATGGGTTCTTGGCTAAAGGAGAGGTCTTGAAGCTGGAGACCAAGGTCTGGATTTTTCATTTGCAAACAGATTATACTAAGTTCACGTTAAAGGCTTCTATTTTCTGATTTTTATAAAAAAAAAAACTTTTATTGAATCCAGTTGCTTTATTACATAATTCTCTGCTTTCTTGTAGACATGATAATACTTTAATTCCTAAAATATTAACTTTGAAACATAGTGACCACAAACGTATCTCAAAAAAGGCCTTTTGAAAAGCTTAATTCATCTTCCTGCTAGTGTAAAATTGGTGTCCTACAGTAACAAACTTCTGCTAATCAATTTTCTGTTCAATGTCCCTTCCTTAGACTGATCCATCAATCCTTGGTGGCATGATTGTCAACATTGGGGAGAAGTTCGTGGACATGTCAACAAGGTCCAAGATCCAGAAACTCACCAAAATCATGAGAGAGAGTGTCTAGAGAGCTGTCCTGGTCATCCCCAGGGATGAAACTAGAAACAATAAAATTCTTCCTTCTCGTGTTGATGGTGCCGAGTGTTTTGGTTGGGGAAGCACAGCCCTGAGGGAGGAAGATGCTGAAGCTGCCCTGAATTTCTGTAGCTGAACATTTGTGGCACAGCTTGAAAATRTGGCTCACCCTGATTGCTGGGGAAAGGTACTGGGAAGGACGTGGAAGGAGCACTGAGGGAGCTGTGAAGGGAGTCAGTGCTAKGGAGGGTCTGCCACGCTCCCCAGAAAACTGGGTTGGTCTGTACTGCCCTGTCCGAGGAAAGGATGACAGGAAATGACCTGGGGAGGTTCAGATTGCAGATTAGAAAAACATCTCTGCAGGAGTGGTCAGGCCTTGGAATGAGTTGCTCACAGAGGTGGTGGAGTCACTGTCTCTGGAAGTGTTCAGGAGGAGTCTGTGGCATTTGGGGTGACGATGGTGGGATTGAATGATCCTGAACATCTCCAACCTCAATGAATCCATGACCTACACAAGAGACTGGGACTGGATGTKCAGCCCTTTTTCTGTCCACAGGGACACCCAAGTGTGTCCCTCCTCCTCTGCCCAATGTCCCACAGCAGAGTCCCCAGGCCRGCGTTCCTCTCTGAGGGAGCAGTAGCGGGGACATTTGAGAATTTAAGCAGCCCTGAGAGAGGGGAAGGCAGGAATTGTCATTTCATTCGTTCTTTCATTCAATCCTGCAATGGGACAAGAAATTGTTCTTGGTGGAGCTTGGAGAGGCTCGGGGGATGTCAGGTGTGGTCCCACCTGCAGGTTRGGCTCTCCACAGCARTGGCAGCAGTGGGAAATTGSAGTGAAAATGGATTATCCAGAACCACACTTGATGTATCTCTTCTCTGTGGACTTGGAGGAGGTTCTGGATAAATTATGCAYGGCAAGCCTATGAAATCAGGAGGAACTCTGATTTTACTCCTTGTGAGCTGCAATGCAGCCTCGGAAAGGAGCGATGCTTTTGTGCATTGTGCRCACACGGCTGAAGCCACGTGTGAATCCTCCGGGAGTTCTGTCCATTCTGAAGCCTCGCCCCCAGCTGATGATTTTTTTCCTTGATGCTGCTCTTTTTTGCTTCAATGTTTCCAAAATAGAGCAGATGAAAAGAGACAAGGAATTAAGTTTAAAAACCAAGAACAGCCGGTGACAAAACTAAAGATGAAAGATTTTTTCATAGTAACGTTTTTATTTTATTAAATCTTTTGCCAGTAGAGATGTTGCTCCTGACTACCTCTTTATGACTTTTGAACCACATGGAATCGTAATTTTTTTAAAAATTGTTTATTATGCCTTCTGAACCCCAAATACAACAGACGAGTGCCATTGAAAGTCATTTTCTCTCCCAAACAGACTAAAAAACTCATTTCTTTTTCCCAAAGAGACTGAACCCCGTGTGTTTCGTGTCCCATCGCACCCCCGGTGCCGGTATCTGCTCAGGGATCCCGGTCCTGGGGCAGCCGTGTGGCGATGCAGCCGCAGACGACCCCAGCCCTTCGGGCCGCTGTCCCAGAGCGTTCAGAAGTGCTCGGACACAATTTCCAGTCCCGGCTGTCTCTGTGCTCCGTGTGTTCGGTGCCCATGCACACAGAGCCATCTTTTCAGGAAGACTTCAGGGTCCAATCCATGTCTCCATGGAAAGGACATGACCATGACCACAAACAGCTCTCCCAACGGGAAGATGGTGAGGAAGAACTTTCCCAATGGGAACACAACAAGGAGGGCTCTGCTCGGTGGAATGGACAGCGATCAAAGCTCTTCACCCAAACTGCCAGGGCTGCAGAGAGTGTTGGGCCATCAAAAGGTGCTGGAGTGGCTGGAAGCCAATTTCCCCAACAATTATGGAGCTGAGAAAGAGGCAGAGGACAAAGATGACACCTACCAAGGACTGTCCCAAGAGAAATGGGGCAATGACCAGCCAGGAGCCTGGTGGCAAGGCTGATTGGACTCCATGTCATCTCTTGGTTTCAGTATCAGTGACAATTTGCTTTCCAAAGGGAAGCACGGTGGAGTCCAAGAGCCAGCCCAAGGGGAAGATCCATCCAGGAGAACATGTGGGATATTGGGCAAGAATTGTTCCCTGGGAGGCTGGGCAGGATTCCTTTGAGTGCCCAAGGCCAGGTTGGGACAGTGGGAGGTGTCCCTGCCATGGCAGGGGTGGCACTGGATAGGCTTTGAGGTCCCTTCCAACCCAGACCACTCTGGGATTCTGGGATTCAGACACACCCATGAAAAGGGCTGCAATCTGAGAGGGACCCCTGTATGAAGGAACCCCACTTGCAGCACCAGATGAGCCTCGGGTAGGAGCAGCTCCTCGGGGCTCCCCCAAAACCCTGCCCAAAGCTCCTGCATTCCAGCCACAGGATGTTTCTGTCCTGGTGGCCAGTAATGGATACTGGTGAAACRGAAATATTAAAAAAGTGATGCTACTTGTGAAACACTGAGAGTGTTCACCCTGTTGGCAGCTACTGAGTAAAATTAGGACAGCAATAAAAGGTTAGACAATGACATTTAATGGTACTCCAGTAATAGATTTTATCACTTTTTTATCCTACCACAACAATGTGTATTTTCATATACATTATATTTAATAAAATGTATTGATATGGAATTAGGAAAGCATGGGTTTAGTACTATTTACATATTTTAATTGAAACGATTTTCTTAACAACATTGAAAAATAGAAACTTAAAGTTCTCTTAATTGTGTTTTCAGCCAGTTAGTGGTAAACAAATGCATGCCTAGGAAGTCACACTCCCTCTAAAACGTGGTCAGTTGAAAGTTTCTAACTAAAGTGTGTATCTCTGTTTTGTTTCAAAAAATACATAAGTATGTCTGTCATTTCTGATACAAAATTCTACACTATCTTCAATAAATAAATAATAAAGCGATTCTGAAAAGTATGAAATGTAAACTTTGTTGTCCCTCCAACATACATTTTTTTCCTTCCCGTTGCTTGAAACATTACAGTGGTCTTTTAGGAAATTATAATACACAGACACTTCCCAGCACAGTTTACACTTACTACCATACTGACCTACCTACCTGTTATGAATTTATCCTAATTTCCTAATGGAAACCAATAAGACTTGGAGTGCTAGAGAACACCGCCGACACAGGAGAGGTGGGAACCAGTACTGAAAGGACATGCAAGGAACACCGAAACCTAACAACAGCTCCACGAGAACGTTCACATGCGAATGACACAGGCTGGCACCTCCCATCCGGAATGAAGTCCTTACAAAAATACCAGTGGATGCATGGCAGGGCATGAACAGAAGGGATCCAAGCACAACAAAGAGGAATTTGGTTCTCRGGGGCTTTGGTCCCCCGAGCCCAGACTCGGCAGGGCACTGACACGTGGCCTGAGGGACAGCAGAGGTCAGTGCCCGGCCCGAGCTGGGAGCTTTGCCAAACTGGGATGTGGGCCTGGACGTGTGCATCCATGAGGGAAAGGGATGGAGAGCCCCGGCATACCCCCAATAGCTTTGGGGTCCCCACACTGCGGCACCACGAGCTCCCCTGGAGCTGCAGGACGTGGCTGCCCCCAGTCCTGGCACTCCTCATCTCATCCCCACGGGTGAGCAGGGCACGGCTCCGTACCTGGGCACGGAGGTATCTTTTGCAGATTGCTTTGCAAACCAGGCTCTGCAGGCTGGGAATTCCCTCCCTGAGCCGGAGCCATGATTGTTTCTTCTTCCCCACAGCAGTGATGATCTCCCCGTGAGCAGCAGCAGTGCAGGAGCACCCGAGGGCTGCACAGACACCAGCAGAGCTCCATGCCTTGCCCTCAGCTCCCTGTCCCGTGACAGCTCTGGGGACAGCAGCCGCTGCCAAAGGGACCGAGGGGGGACTCTCCTGGAGCACAGCTCATCTCTGTGCACAAGGCCTGGGCATCTTTTATTTTCAGGGGCAACACGAGTCATGAAGTGGTATGTTAATAGAATCTTCTCTGTTTATAGATATAGACTATTTATTTTCTAAGTCTTTTCAGTACCATCGTGAAGATCTTCCAAGAYCTTCTTGCTGCCAAACGGCTCCTTCCATTCATATCACATTTACACACCACTCTGCTGAGCAATAGGCACAGAACTCCTGAAGGGGAGAACCCTGCAGGAAGCCTCCAAAACACACCCACACCACCTTCTCCACGGCCGTGGAAGAGCAGGGCACCTGGAGCAGGCACAGCCACCTCTGTGGTTCGCCAGCCATCCCCACTGCAGCTCAGGATGAACAACAGGCTCTGTTCACCAGCCCAGGACACCGATGCCAAGTTCCACATGGACAGATTGAGGGAGATCTCCTCACTAAATTGGGACTCGTGTGTTCACTGAGAATTATCAAGGCACAAAGATACTCCTGTTTGCTTTGATAACCCTCTGACRTGTGAAGGGCGAGCAGTAGGTTTGTGCCACACCAGCGAGGACTCRGTGACAGCTGCTGCAGACACCTCCTGCAGTGGACTCGGCTCAATTCTGATATCRGCCCCTCTCTCCTAAGGCTCGTCAAACAGCTGCAGGTCCAGGCGCACCACGATCTCTCCCGTGGGGACTTCGTGCAGAAGGAGACACTTTGTAACTGGTCCCTTGGAGCCCTGATCYTTCTTGATGTCTGCCACGCGGATCTCCGTTCTGCCCAGAAAGTCTGCAAGGCAAAAACACGGCTCAGCAAAGGAAAACCAGAGTCTGCAGAAGGAACTGAGCTTCCACCTACACACAACACAAGAGGAAACRAGATTTCAGTCAGCTCTGTTTGTGCAGGGGCTGCATAGAAGGGGGTTTAGCCACACCATGTTAAACAGCAGCAGTTTTAAAAGCGAGCAGGAAAAACCCACRATGGAATTCACAGCTGCCTCACTTCAGGGACTTCTTGATTCRATGATGTGTTAGAAAAAGGCCAAAAGCTGCTGAGCAGTTACRCCTGAGTGTGAAGCCTCTGGAGATGGCAGAGCCAAGCAGGGAACAGCCCAACAAGGAGGTCAGCAGGCCAGTACCACTCCCATCCAAACACTGCCCAAAATACACCAAATGATRAGCCCAAAACACACCCAGCCACGCTCCACATGTTTATCACAGCTTTGGAAAGAACGAGGGAGCTTGTAGTGCTGAACCCTGTCAAGACCACACTGGATGGTGCCTGGAGCAGCCTGGGCTGGTGGAAGGTGTCCCTGCCCATGGAAGAGGATGATCTTTAAGGTCCCTTCTACACCAAACCATTCTGTGATTCTGTCGGGTTTGGAATCCTGGGCTCATTGTTATCTCTGTTACTGTAGCAGAAACTCAAAGGCATTTCCCTTCCTCCTGCATGAGCCCCTCTCCGTGCAAGCAGCACCCAGAGCTTTCTGGAGTCAGCAGGTGCTGTAATTGCTCAAGACAAGAAACTCTCAAAAATCCAGAGGGAGATGGATTCTTTTTGTGCAGATACTTGGGTGGAGCAAGGGTGGGTTGACTCCCAAATAGGCAAAGGGGGTCAAATCTGGGGTAYGTTTAAAGATCATCTTCCAACCCAGCCCATCCCCTGAGATTTCCCTCAGCAGGAAAGCAGCTGCTCCAAACGCCCTGGCAGGGGCAGCCCCRTACGCACCATCGGGGGAGAACTGGTCCCGCTCGAACACCGTGATGCACAGCACGTCCTGCTCCAGGTCCTTGATGAAGAACTGGCAGTTGGAATTCCACTTGGGATTGAGGGTGTCYTGGATGGTCTTGGTGATGTGGCACTGAGAGCCCATGGTCACCTCGCAGTAGGGGTTACTCTTTCCTGGACACGTGGGAACAAACACAAACCAGTGAGGCTTTTTTAGCTGGGTGATCCTGTTCCTGAGTGTCTTTCTACTCCTGCAGCCAACTGAGCTGGGAAACTCGGGGCTCTGGCCCCATCTCGGGGCTCTGGCTCCATCCCAAACTCTGCCCCCATCTCGGGGCTCTGGCCCCATCCCAGACTCTGCTTCACAGCCTTTGTGATGGGGCACATTAACACCACAGTGAAAGCTCTGCTCTGCTGAGCATCCTCCATTCCTCCCTTCAGGACTYCAGGGCTTGTGTGGTGGGAACTCAGCCAGTCTGGAACAAAAATCTAATGCAGGACAGGTGCAGGACCACGGCTGAGTTGCACAGATCCACCTGTGCCTGTCTGACCTTCATTAAACCCACAGCACTGAACAGCAGCAGCATGTCTGGGACAGAGCCTCCTGCAGGCTTGGGCTGGTGTTGCCTTGAAAGGCCAGTTTTTAATAATGACACAGACATGGTTAAGGGGATAAAAAGGGTTTTACCTCGGTATTTGGGATCCCAGGTGCACAACTTGATGGCAGAATGCACACCCGTGTATAGCATAGATACAAGTTTTATAGATTTCAGGAACTAGCATATCTATCTAGGATTGTCCAATAAGATACAAGTTCTATAGGTTTCAGGAATTAGCATATCTATCTAGGATTCCCCAATAAGAAACTTCACAAATGCAGTAGTGTCCCCCTATTCTAATGAATCCCCCCCCGGATGAGGCCAGAGCCCAGTTTACACAAGATGTTCTGGACAGAAGGCTTCACCCAAGGCTGGAGCTCGGGTTTAAGAGCACAGGGCACACTGATCTCTTCCTCAGGATGTTTGGTCTCTCTGCTCAGCAGAATTCCTAAACTAAGCTGGAATATCAGGCTGCAGGAATTACAAGGAATTACAATCAAGGGRTAAAGRGGGATGYATAGAGGGTACAGAAAACGTAAAAAGGAAAAGCAAAAATCATCAGGCATCACTGGCAGGAACCTTCTCCTGGTGGAGCAGAGCAAGCCCAGGCACTCACCATGGGACCTGCAGGGCTTCAACTCAATGCCTTCCACAACGTTCACCATCAGCCTCCCGATGCCTGTGGCTCTCTGAGAGCGAACTGTGGAACAGGAGAGGAGAGAGAAACATCACCAAGGGATTCTCTCGCCCAGGGACTTCCCACAGATGAGACCCCCACAACCTATGCTGTACCTAGGTAGGCCTTCTCCCTCTTCTTCTTTTCAGTCTCAATGTAAAGCTCTGAAGCAGCTTTGATTTTCTGAACCCAGGCAGTCCTTCAGAAGGAAAGGAAAAAAAGAAGTTGCAAAATGTCATTTCCATTTTTCCCTGCTGGAGCACAGTAGACAAAGCTAAAGCTGTCCCTCGTTCCCAGCCAAGGCTCTGACCCATCCCAGGCTCTGCTATCCCAGAGCTGTCTGTCTGGAAGGATCTTACTGGAATTCAGAGCACCTGCAGAAACGTGACCATCCCAAGGCAGCAAATCCCACCACACAAAGAACACTCAAGAGAACCACGAGCAGGAGATGCTTGATGAGAAAACAGAAGGTCCAAAGAACAGGTTGGCTTCCATCCAGCCCCTTGCTTTACTGCAACAAACTGATTTCTTGGAGCCAGGAGGTAGAAGCCACCCTGGTGGCTGAGGTGGCCACTGCCCTTGATCTCTGAGGTTTCCTACCAAATTCTTCTGACTCTCAGGATATTAAAAGCATAACTTGGGGAGTCCATGGGTGGTGAATGGGCCCTTCTGGGAAATTGTTTCATGCTTAAGAATCAYAGAATATCCTGAGCTGGAAGGGACCCTCAKGGATCACTGAGTCCAGCTCCTGATCCCACCAATCCCAGCCTGTGCCTGAAGGAGCGGACAGAAAAAGGGTGGCAGAAGGGCTACCAGGTGACCTCAAGGGCTTATTGGTGTGACATAGAAGTCACAATGACTCCCATGAGTCAAGGAAACATGGGAGAGTCTGGAAGYTGTGGATCCATTTCTGAACCCCAAATGAAGAGCTGCTGCTCCACAGGACATTCATGGTTTGGGTTGGGAGGGACCTTAAAGCCCATCCCATCCCACCCCTGCCATGGGCAGGGACACCTCCCACTGTCCCAGGCTGCTCCCAGCCCCAATGTCCAGCCTGGCCTTGGGCAGGGCCAGGGATCCAGGGGCATCAGAATTTTGAGGGCCCTGCATTTCCCAGCTGGCACAACACAATGTCTGCAGTAGGGGGAGGGGTTTGCTGAACTTCCAGTATTCTGTTTTCAAGAAAAGTTTTCTTCCAAGACCTTACATATGGCCTCTGCAGTGTAAGTCAGTGTAACCTTTGCAGTGTAAGTCAGTGTAGTCTTCTCTCTGTAACCTTGCCAGAGATAAAAACCTTCAGCTGAGGATTAAAGATTGCGTTCCCTTTGACTTCTCCAGTCTGAACKGAACCAGGTAAAACTAACTGGGTTTAGTTTGAGAGGTTTTGCTTCAGATTCCACTTCTGAYCTGTTCCTTGATCCCCTTCAACATYCAGCCATTYAAATGCTTCCACTGCACAAACAGCTGGTAGCAGCACAAGGAGGAATTATATYTTTTGGCTTCTTCACATTGCCAGAYAATGTGAAAARCAGCCTAAATATCCAGCCTCAGCCACTTCATTGCTGGTCTAACTWCAATTTAGAAAACATCATTATTTCTCCCTCCTTTTCAGGCCACCATATTCTCAAGAAGTTCTTCAGTCTTGTAAAACAACCAGCTTGGAGGGGTTTCCATCCCAACCATTCCCATCCTACATGCAAAGGCCCATGAAGGCGCTCACCTTTCATTAATGCTTTCGGCCCGGAGCGTGTAGACTCTGTCAATGTGGGAGATGTGGAAGATGGGCTCATCTCCAGAAGGGTCTGTGGGTAATTTTACCAGTACCTCATTTAGGAAGATGGGCTGTAAAACATCAGCAAAGCTGGAGCTGTACTGCAGAGTCTGCACGGGGGCATTCAGCACACATCAGTTTATTGCACGCCCTGAGTATCTCCCCTCTCCTGCCTTCCATCTTTCTTCAGATAACAAGAAAATGTTAAAAACTGATGAAGACAGAGGTGCCTGCAGAGCCTGRAATCCCTCCTGGAGGGAGCCAAGCACARCAGCATCTCCTTCCCCCAGAGAGMAGTGGACACAGCTCTCCCTCYGCTCCCTCAAACACACGAGCTCTCRTGAAGAGTTCTGCTCRAGCAAAGCTTCAAAAGCATCTTTTCTGATCTCCCTGCAGCACAGAGCCACTTTTTCTGCCCCAAAGCTGGAGCCCCAAAGCTTTCAAACCTCTTTTCTGGGAAGAGGTTTCCTTCATCTTGCCCACCCCCAGATGTTGTTGTCCCCACGCCCGTGCCAGAGCTGCACTTACAGTTTTGTACATTTTGTATTGCAGGTTGGACTTGGGGCTGAAGACCTTGTCTGTGCCCGAAGAGCCAAGAGGTTTTATGATYTGAGTGAGGAGGAGGAAGTCGTTGAAGAGAAAACCATACAGCTCCTTGTTACTCTTGGCTTTATAGAGCTTGCCGCTGTGCAGGAACTTGCGAGGTCCCAAGCAGTTTGTAACTGAATTAAAAACGAGTTGCTGCGAAAAGTAGAAGAAGAACAACAACGCACTGTATAAAGTGAAACAATCGGGGYTGCCCTGCAAGAGACCAAATAGAGTTTTGAGTCCTGGTTCCAGTCGGGGTCACGGGGGTGACGAGCGATGCCTCGAGCACGACAAGCGCTGCCGGTCACACGAGGCTCCATGGGGATCCCACAGGGCACGGGCTGGGCAGGCAGCGAGGAGCCAAAAGCGTCTGTGCCCCCTGGGCATGCACCTCCAGGGTGGGACTGAGCCCCGGGGAGCTGTCCTGGAGCAGCAGCAGCTATGCAAGGGCTTCTGCACAGGCTGAGATCCCTCCAGGGCTGCATTCTGAACTGGCTTGGAATCTCACCCCCTAAAACACCCCAAAGGGCTCCAGAGAGCCACCACACACCGAGTTAGAGTTGCTGACCACTGGGACCAGCACAATCCCAGACTCAGCCAGGGCTCAGGCTCAGTCAGAGAAGCAGTCATGCCCTTGCCTCAAGTGCCATTTTCAGGTTGATTTTCACCAGYTCTCAGCCCCCAGGCAGCTGGCAASCCCCAGGCAGCAAGCAGGGAGAGAAYTGGGGCCATGGCTTTGGGGCTGCTGCTGCTGCTGCAGCGAGCACCAGGGGCTCTCCCAGGGAATGGATTTGCTGTTCTAGGGCCAGGCACCATCGACAGGAGATAAAAGCAGCCACGTTCCTTCAGGCAGTGGTTGTCAGAGAGCTGAACRTGCTTTGACCCTTCTGGCATTGTCACACGCACCTTTCTCCCAGAGCACTCAGACTTCCTGAGGTGAAACGCAATTTTCCTACTTTATGAACCAACCAGTGCTTGTTGTTTACCTTCTAAATCAGAAAACCTGGTGCATACTTTGAAAATTGTGATCTGTCTGCCTCTGTTATCTCCACCAGACACAGGAAGGCCATCAGAACACCCTCCCTCCTTTTGCAGGACATACAGGCACAGTATTTTCATTATAGTTCCACTGGATACTTCCATGTTATCTTAAAAAGTAACTTGGAATGGGAGGCAGGGATTCCTTCTGGAATGTCTCTAGAGACTTGATCAGTATTCTTGCATTTTCGAAGGTATAAAAGGCTTTACCAGAGAAAATATTTCTAAATATTTGATTTTCAAARTACTCCAAAGCGGTCAGGTACAGCTTTGGGGTGGGATGCAGCAGTCCTGTAACCACTGTACTGCAGAGAACTGGCAAACTGGGAAGTTGTAGTGGAAAATTGCAGCCTGGAACCCGGGAGCAGTGTGGAGCCAGGCACCCAAGCAGGATTGAGCCCGAGGGAAGGGAGCACGAGCGGGATGAGGGAAGGGAGGGGAGCAGGGAGAGGGGAGCGGGGAGAGGGGAGTGCGGGGAGAGGGGAGTGCAGGGAGAGGGGAGCGCAAGGAGTGGGGCTGGCCAGGCCATGGCGGTACCTCGGAGAGCCCCTCGCACTGCACGTGGGCCTGGATCCACTCGAGCCTGTCCGAGTTCTCCTTCTCGCGCACGCCCTCGTTCACCTGCGAGCACAGCTCCTCTGCCTTCTCCAGCGCATGTCGCAGGTGGCTGTGGTCGGGGTGGCTCTCAGGGGTGTTCTCCATTATCTGCACACCAGCAAACCCCGTTAGTGTGAAAAACGAGGTTTACTTTTTTGTTAAAATTTAAAAGGTTTTAATARATGACAATAGGGTATATAAAAGCAAAAGGATACAACGCYGGGTGTTCGGTGATCYGCCAGAGGCACACCTGCTACTGACYGGAGACATCTTTAAATATATTTTGTATTGCATTAGCTTAATGCTTATTTATAGATATTTATGCATATTTAAACTTTTTTGAGAACTGTTTAACATGGATCTGCCTTTTCAGAGAATGAGCAGTCATGATGTTTATGCTCTTGGGGTTGTGTGCATGTGACCCCTGTTCCATAATTTCAGTCGATGTTTTTTGTTGATGGAGAAGTGTTCGTAGCAAGTGCCCCTAATGGATCACAACACCCCTGGCCTGTCCATTGCAAATATGGTTGTCTGAAGGTTGGGGGGTCCCATCAGCCAGGTTCCTTTGGACGTTCTACGAGCTTTTTTTTTTTTTCTAAAATTTTTGGTTTTTTTACCCCACTCTTTCGCTGCCAGGGTTTGTGCTGGCCTGGCAGCTGATAGTCTTGGGGCGATGGCCTCCCCACCCCARAGGTGTTAAGAATTGTGATTTCTTTGTGAATGTATATATTTTTTTTTTCAGATTTGAACTGGTTTTTATTTTTAAGGATTATTGCCACCAGGGCCTCATTCGGGGTTTTTTTTTGGTGATTTCCTCTGTAGCTTTTGTATAGTTTTGTTATAATATAAAAAATATTTTTTATGGAAATGTTTAAGTTATAAATTATAATACTTTAGTTTTAAGTACAAGTATTTTATAACTATATTTGAGTTATAAAAGAAAAATAGTGATAATTTTTATAACTATGCTTGCATAATTAATTYTTTTTATAAATAATATTATATTATGATGTATAATATATAGTTTTTATTTTTAATTTCTGTGAAAAACGATATTATAATATGTGTTTACTATAGTTAGGCTGCTGCCAGCACAGCTCAGTACTCGCTGCCTTCTGATTCTTTGGACGCAGGTTTCACCTCTGCTTCAAATGGAAATATCGAATGATTTTGCCAAAGCCCAAGGAATTATCCCATTTTTTACACTGGAATGGAGCCTTAAAKGACACCTCCCACTCCCCAGCACATCAGAAATCTGCCAGTGACAAAGCACGAAACCAATAAGGAAATAGCCCTGTAATTAAGCTGTAAGCAAAGCAGCATCAATCCCATCCCATGTGCGAAGGAACGTACATTTTTAATGATTAGTGGGTATCTGGTTACCCGTTGCATAGGCTTTAGTAGAAAACTTGAGAGTGGCATTCCTTTACAGCGAGGATCCATTGCTAACCTCTGAAACATTAGAGAGGTAAAATCTGGTTAGTCAGGTGGTTTAAACCCTGAGAAATGAGCCTGAGGAAAAACCGTGAGGAATAGGGAAGGCAATAAATGAGCACCAATCCTCAGCTAAACCTGCTCTGAGATCTTCCTGCTGGTTTTACAGTGCATCTTCAYCTGCCTTGTCCTGACAGGAATCCCAGAGTCACCAGGGCTGGAAACCGCCCCCCAAGATCACCCAGTGCCAGCCCAGCAGCACCAGCAGCACCCAAAACCCTGTCCCCAAGGGCCACATCCAGACTCCTCCTGAGCACTCCCAGAGACAGGGACTGCACCCCCTCCCTGGGCAGCTCATTCCAAGGCCTGACCACTCTGACAGGGAATTTTCTTTGCCAATCTCCACCCTGAGCCTCCCCTGGTGCAATTTCAGGCCATTTCCTCTCCTCCTTTCCCTCAGGGCACGGCCGCAGAGCCCAACCCCCTGGCTGTCCCCTCCTGTCAGGGAGTTGTGCAGAGCCACAAGGTCCCCCCRGAGCCTCCTTTGCTCCAGGCTCAGCCCCTTTCCCAGCTCCCTCAGCCGCTCCTGGGGCTCCAGCCCCTTCCCAGCTCCGCTCCCTGCCCTGGACACGCTCCAACCCCTCMAGGTCCCTTCTCAAATGAGTGGCCCAGAACTGGACACATCCTCAGGGTGGGGCCTCATCTTTCCAGCTCAGCCAAGAGAAAAGATGCACACAATTCCCAGGGGTCGCTGCCTCTCTCACCTTGACAAACTCCTTGAACTCGGGCACTTCATCCGTTTTCTGCTGGATGAGGGCGGCCCCGTTGAGCTGGCAGCTGCAGAAGCGGATGTAGGGCTGCATGTGGGGCARCTGGGCCGTCAGGATGTCCCCGATCATCTTCACCGGCATCTTCTCCCCAGACATCTTCTTGCGCACGCGCAGGGCCCTGCCAGGAGCAGGGCACGGGGGTTGGACAAAGAGCCTCTCCTCAGTTATGGAATAAAGGGGTGAGTTCTGATTCATTACGGACACCCAGAGAACAAGGAACATGTCAGCCACAAGATTTACTGCAAGGACACAAAAACCAGGGCTGCACCCTCAGGCAGCACCTTCCCCTCCTGTGCTCACCCAGCTGCTGTTTGACATTAATGCAATGTCAGAGCAGAAGTGAGAGAAAAGGAAGGTAATTTCCTTTTCTGTCTGTTTAGAGAGAGAGCTGCTGATGTGGGAGGGAGGGAGGGAAAAACCCCATCACTTGGAATTCAAAGCTTCTCCCAGTTTTCAGCCTGGTTTCCTAAGGAAAGGTTCATTGGCATTTGCCCAGTCACCACCACAGCGTTTCAGCTTGTGGGCCATTTTACAAAACAAAGGAGATGTTATAAAGCTGTGAAATCCCTGTAGGTTCAGAAAAATACAAGAGCTTTATGAATGCTTTCCTTACCCAGGTGAAGGTTTAACTGTACCCTGCCCCAGTTTCCCTGGCCATGACTCTCCTGGCAGTGAGCTGGGGCAGCAGCACCCAGAGCCTTGGGAAAAGGGCACTCRGGGCAGGAATATTTGGGGATGCAGGCTCTGCTCAGCACAGTCAGGGCTCAGCCCATGCTCACTGCAGGAAGGCATCGGCCAAGCTGGGATAAGAAGGCTCCTGTGCCTTGATCTGCACTCACAGCTAACAGAGCTGGGCCTGGGGCTGGGCTGGGACAGAGCAGCACAGCCCTGCCTTGGGGGAAGCCTTGGCCAGCCCTGATTTCAGGGCAGAGGAGGATTTGCCTTCTTTTGCTCAGGAGCRAAGTGAGGGCAACAGCAGAGAACTTCTGGGTTCCCCTCAACAACTCACAGCAAACACTGTCCACAGTTTGCTTTTCCCCACAAGGAGAAACAGGGGGTGTTTCTGGTTGTTATTGGTGTAAATGACAAATGTTTCCATGCAGCTGAAAGGAGAAGCAGGGAGAGAGGCCCAGGGTTCTGGTTTTACAAAGTATGGGGGGGAAAAAAAACAACTTACTTCAGTAGTTTTATATTGCACATAATCAGCTCCTTCCAATTAACAAAAATCATGGCAACTTCTTTCTCTGTGACCAGCTCAGATTCCATCAGTGGCTTCTGGAAGATCTGGGGAGTCAGAAAATGAGGCCATTCAGAGTGTACAAGGTGAGAATTGTACAGACAGAATTCTGCTCCAATATGTTCCCTGGGAATGGGTGGGACTAAGGAGACCCTCAGGCATGAGGGGCTTTATCAGGGAATACTCTGAATTTGTAGGGCTAGTGATGTTAATTTTGATCTGGATAATTTGTTTGAAACCTGGGAATTTTAGCCAGAGATCTCCTGCAAGAGATCCCAGGATTCCTTTGATAATGCAACTGAAAATATATTTTACTTTGAACTGTTTTATGGAAGTTCTGATTTCTCTGAGAGTCTCAGGTTTGCCTATCTTGAACTCTTCAAAAAAGAGCTTTGCTTCTCTGTCAAAAGMATTGTCTGCAGCTGTCTGAACTATTTCCTTTATTTTCTACAACTAAAGCCAATCACAGGAATGATAACTGAGCCCCACTGTGAGCATGGACAACGTGCTTCATTTAAGAACATTAAGTTTCAGAGATAAAGTTTCTTTGTACATGAGAAATAAACACTGAGAGTCAGGAGCAAAAAGCTTTGCTAAAACAATCCTTCAAACGTCAGCATGTGGGTGATGGCAGCACGAGGGGTTGGCAGGATTTGCAGCCCCCCTGTACCTGAACATGTCCAAACAGACACAAACGAGATGAGGCAGAGATGTCCCTGGGGAGCAGTGAAACCCCAGCCCTTTGCACGGTGGAAGGGCTGATTTCACCGAGGAAGAGGAGGCCCAGACCTGCAGGGCTGCTCACCTCGGTCACCAGCTGCAGGTCATTGACRTAGTTCTCCTCGGTGACAATGAGCTCGTGGATGTAGCCCTGCCTCTTCCTCTCGGTGGGGGTCAGCATGTCCAGCAGGTGAAGATCTGCACACCCTGAAAAACACAACAGAGCCAGGTCTTGACCCAGGGACCACACCTGGGCAGTCACAGCAGCACCCAGGAGCCACCTCCTGTCCCTTCACCCCGTTCTTGTTCCCTGGGAACAGGGACCACACCTGGACAGTCACAGCAGCACCTCCTGTCCCCTCACCCCGTTCTTGTTCCCTGGGAATGGCACAGGGACACACCTGGGGCAGTCACCCAGGGACAGTAGCCACCTCCTGGCCCCTCACCCTGTTTTTGTTCCCCAGGAATGGCACAAGCCCAGCGCTGCTGCAGCTCTGGCCATTCTAAACATTCTATTTGACACTTTTTGTAATTTATAAAAACAAAGGCCTCTCTGAGTGGGAACTCTGCCCTGGTGGCCAAGTTCTGAGGTGCCCCTCACCTGCCCATTCCCAGCCTCACCCTGGGGTCCCCCTGGGCTGTGCCATTCCAATCCCACACAGATGCTGCAAATGAAAATGGGGACAAAGAGCTCGTGTGGTGGGAAGGAAATGCAGAGWCATCCCACARGGAATTAGGGAAGAGCTGCAGTGAYCTTAATGCTCCRARGGGCACTTTGGAATGATTCCCTCCGACAATGGATGCCCTAAATTCAAGGTTCCCCTTTATCCTTCTGCTTAAGGAAATCTTTCTCAAGAAGGTGCTGCAGGGCCTGTTTGCTTCTTCACATTTCAATTAAAAACTGCTCCAAAATATCTGAAGGGCTCCAGCCAGGACATGCAAAGGTCCTGGAGATCCCCACATTCCACTGAATTCCAGGCCAAGCCAAAGGTGTGTCTTTTGTCCTCCTTTCCAATTAAAAGCGCAGGAAAATGTTGTCACTATGAGCTCATCTTCCATCAGTTTTGTCCCATATAATTGCAAACTGCCCCTGCACTAATCCCCTGTAGATGGGAATATTTTTTATAAAAATTCCACAGTCTCCACTTTTGTTTTCTGTTCTGAATTACCCAGAATATTTAATTCCATTCTCTCATCTGGAGGCCATTATTTTTCAGCTGAGTTTAATTAAATTCTTCTGAGACTGGAACACAGAATGTTTTCTTCCAGTTTTTGTTACTTTTCTGCATAAAATTCAGTGCATTTTAAAAAGCAACGTTGATTTCAAACAGGTGGAAAACATTTGGCTCTGAAAATTATGTATTTCAGCTATTTTCACTCAACCARAATTACCCAGTTGAATTCTTTCCCTCACCCCTCAGCAGTATATTCCCTATGGAAACAAACTTTCCTAATGGGAACATCAGGCTCCAGGTAACTCTTTCAGTTCTTTGCATATAAAGTTAATATTTAGGGAGTATTTCCTGCAATTTTAGCTTCCTGAATGTAGCTCAGGAGCTCAGACAATGCCACTGGAAAAGTCCAGGCGTATCACCATTATTTCCATGGAGTACCATCAGCTGCTGCTAGAAATGATCTGTGTTCCTCAATGGGGAATGATGGATTTGACTGAAAAACAAMCAAAAAAMCCMMAAAAAAMCCAATACCAAATGAAACAAACCCAGAATAGGAGATACAGACAGTCAAGGCTGCTCCCTCTCTGAATCTGAAGCTGGGAGGGATCAGACTGGAAGCTGGGAGGGATCAGATTGGAAGATGGAGGGATCAGATTGGAAGATGGAGGGATCAGATTGGAAGCAGAGGCACCTTTGTGAGGCTCCCTTGATGAACAGGACACCACAGCCCTTTACAAGGTGCAATTGAAATTTTGCTTGGAATAAAAAGCAGATCTGGAGAGATATTGGCTTTATGCCAATCCAGTGGTTTTTGGACCCATTTCAAAGGCCAGAAGTTTCATTTCTGTTGAATAAATGCCTGGTTTCGGAGCAGTTTCTTTGGCACCAGTACCCCAAAGGTCTAAGAAGCAGATCCAGCTGTCCCAGTGCTCCATTAGAAGTGATCCAAGTGTTGAAATGCTTCTCCCTGSGGAAGTTCCTGTTCAAAGATGCGATGGCCTTGCTTTGAAGATGATTTCCAACCACCAAGCCTTTGGAGGAAGCGCTGACATTTGGAATGATGAACTGGCTGCTCTGAAAAATGACACTCTGCTTCTGGATATGAAATATTTTGGGAAAAGAGCCCAAATCTGAACAGAACACCCAGGGGAGACTTTTCTGCTAAGGGAYTTCCTTTGTGAGTGCACAAGTGCACAGACTTTTATTGTCTTTGTATTAAAAACACTGAAGAAGAATTGGGTTCCTTCCCAAGTGGAAATGTCTGACTCGTTTTCCATGGATACCAAAGAACTTTGGTGAACTGAATTCCACTGRTCATGGAATCCTGGAATGGTWTGGGTTGGAAGGACCTTAAAGCCCATCCAGTGYCACCCCTGCCATGGCAGGGACACCTCCCACTGTCCCAGGCTGCTCCCAGCCCCAATGTCCAGYCTGGCCTTGGGCACTCAAAGGGATCCAGGGGCAGCCACAGCTKCTCTGGGCAATTCTTTGCTTYARTTCAGTAAAGTMAGGARAGGATGGGAAAATGAGAACAATTAACTTGGTTTGTTCTCAGGAGAGTGGATCCATGAAGACTTTGAGAACCAACAGACAAATGCTGTAACTCCAAATCTGTGCCCTGACCTCCAATCACCACAGTCCCTGAAGATTAAAGGGCTCCAGAAAAGCAAAAAAAATAATTTCAAATCTCTCTGTAGGGAGTAAAGATGTTTTGCCTCATCCTTACAAAGTCAACCCWGAAGATCTGGGTCTCCCAGGATAAACATGAGGCCTAAAAGAACAAAGATGCTGCTTTTTGGGAAGGGAGGTTCTGCTGTGGAACTCCCTGATTCATGTCCATGGGCAGAGCTGCTGATTCCTTTTCATCTGGGGATGTTTTCTAACCAGGGTAAACTCCCAGATTTCCCTGGGAGCCTCGTGCTGGTACAGTCTGCAGTGACAAGGTCACAGGGGACAGGAATCTATCCTGTTAGAGGGAAACAGGATCAGGCTAAAATGATGCCACTGCTTTCCTTCAAATCCTTCAGGAGAAGGGAAGAGCACACCAGGAGAGCACCCATTCACTTGGGTAAATTCCACAGAATTCCAGGATSCCTGAGGCTGGAAAAGCCCTCCCAGMYCATGGAGTGMCASCTGTGCCCGATGCCCACCTTGTCCCCAGGCCAGAGCACTTAGTGCCACCTCCAGCCTTTCCTGGGACACCTCCAGGGATGGGGACTCCAAAGCTCCCTGGGCAGCCCCTGCCAAGGCCTGAGCACCCTTTCCATGGGCAAATTCCTCCTGGTGTCCACCCTGAGCCTCTCCTGGTCCAGTTTGAGGCCATTCCCTCTCCTCCTTTCCCTGCCCTCTCCTGTCAGGGAGTTGTGCAGAGCCACAAGGTCCCCCCGGAGCCTCCTTTGCTCCAGGCTCAGCCCCTTTCCCAGCTCCCTCAGCCGCTCCTGGGGCTCCAGCACCTTCCCAGCTCCGCTCCCTGCCCTGGACACGCTCCAGCCCCTCCAGGGCTCTCCTGCAGGACCCAAAACTAAAGGGGTCTCAGCAGTGCTGAGTTATTTAAATCACAGCATTTCAATATTCAACCTCCTTATCACCTGGTTCCAGATGCAACCATCAACTCCCCTTAAATCTTGTGGAATGGACTCTCCCCTGAGAGACCATCCCAGGTTTTTGCAGAGGATATTGGGATCAAACAGATCTCTCCATATCCATGATATGCAATGCCCAACCCCATTTCTCAGCTATTTCCAAAGATTTCAGCAGGTTTGGGATGTCTCAGCTGGAGCAGTGTATCCATTTGCTGTCACTTCCCTCTGAGGCACACCGAAGGACCTGGAGACAAGGATGGAAAGTCGCACTTGGAAAGCTTGAAGCATTACTGAGTGGTGGAATCACCCTCTTGGGATGTGCTCAAGAAGGTGTGGATGTGGCACTGCAAGATGGCACTGCATCTCACTGGTGATGGTTCCAACCTCAATTCCACAAGAATTCAATGATTCTACCAATCCCCTTCCAGAGGCTTCTYGGGGAGAATAAAATCCTCTGTGTGAGGGCATGAATGCAGCTAAAAWTGGAAATCAGCAGAGTTACCAAGGCCTGGACTGGTTTGGAACACATCAGGAAATCACATCTCACCTCTTATTTGTGCCCCAGGAGCTGGCTGAGCCCTGGGCACTCAGGGCACTGAGGCAGCCAAGAGCCACGAGAAGCAGCCCCGGGTGCAGGGGAAGGAACTGCACAGCCCCATTCCACAGGAATAAAGGAGCTTGAACCTTTATAGGAACTGCAAAGGAATTTGGAACCAGGAATGTGGGAACTAAATGCAGTTCTCTAAATGTTCCAATCTTCTATCAAACAGCATTTTATTATTTTTTTACTTTCATCTGGCAGAGGGGCAGCTCCCTTCTCTGCTCCCAGGGAACAGTGACAGGAGAGGGAACGGCCTCAGGCTGGGCCAGGGGAGGCTCAGGGTGGACACCAGGAGGAATTTGCCCATGGAAAGGGTGCTCAGGCCTTGGCAGGGGCTGCCCAGGGAGCTTTGGAGTCCCCATCCCTGGAGGTGTCCCAGGAAGGGCTGGAGGTGGCACTGAGTGCTCTGGGCTGGGGACAAGGTGGGTATCAGGCACAGCTGGGATTCCATGGGCTGGGAGGGCTTTTCCACCCTAAATCCTAGGATTTCCTGGGTGCATCAGAGGGAAAACTCCAGACTGTGCCTCCCTTGTCACTGCCAAACTGCCCCAGGAGCTTTCAGGACTCAATGATTTTGAAAGGCTTCGGTCTCAGCACTGGGCAGACATAAGTCAGAGAACCTGCACCTGGAGGGCATCAGAGGAGCTTTATTTTTCTTCTCAGTTGGTGTAAAGAGAAAGGAAAAACCTGCACCTGAATCCCCTAGAGCTGAGTATTGCCAGTATTTTACTCCATATTCAATATGTAGCTCTGRCCTGAAGTCACAGAACCCAAAATATCCCTAAGGACAAATGCTTTTATGCAAGTTAATTTTTCAACCCAGCAGCTCAYGATGGGAAAAGAGATCCTCTCATTCAAATGTCAGTTAATGCACAGAATATTGACAGAGTGGAGTCAGATCTTGCTCCATCTCCTCAGAGCACTGAAAATCACAAGTGGGATGTGCTGTTCCTTTCTGTAGCTGCCAGCAAGTAGCCATGATGGAGAAGAATTGTTTTTCTCTGGCAGAAATGAATAACGTATTACTATTTAAGTACTATCTTAGAAAGATGGAAAACCTGTGCAATTGTGCCTATTTTCAGACTTGCGCTTCTGGCATTAAACACATCCCAAATCAGGTAAACCCATGGCAAACYAAGAAAGAAAATTTAATTTCTCTATTAAAAAAATCAAAATCAAGTGATTTGTTCCATGCAAAAACCCTGGATAGGGAATCAGAGAATCACAGAATCTCCTGTGCTGCAAGGGACCCACCAGGAGTCCAAGGACACCCCAACAAGCCCCCCAGGAGCCAAAGGAGAACAGGCTACAGGTAACAATGATCAATCTGTGATTACATTGGAACAACGTTAAAGAACCCAGGCCAGTGTCACTGTGAGCGGAAAAGTCTCCAGGCTGTGCTGGTGGCAAATCCCTTGGTGCTCTCCTGGCCCATGGCGAGCTCAGTGTGACCCAGAACGAGACAACAAACACGTGCCGGCCTCTTTTGTACGAAGGATTTAATTCTCTATACATGGAACTAATTGGAAAGGCTGTATTACAGTTGTTAAAGCTGCAGGTTTTTATATATTTATATAATTTACATTCATAGTGATGAAATACTGAAGTGCAATTGAATAAGGAGCTTCGCTTTGTCCTTTGCACCGCAGGACGGGTYGGGAGCAGGGAGCTGGGCTGGGAATGCTACAGGCTGCCAGCAGGAACTCAGGASAGTGAAACACAGAAACCAGGACGTAACTCAGTGGTAAATCATTAGTAGGGAGGCTCTGTTGTGCTTGAGGCATTGGGAGGAGGGCACTGCCAGCACCAGGCATTTCAGCAAGAGCCGGGGACTAAYGCTGCAAAGACAGACAGGGCTTGGCTACAGCACAGCTACGACTCCACTGTAAGCTCCATTTCATATTAATTCGTAGAAATTCCACAGTCTAGTTTTAAAAAATGTAAACATTGGAAATTAATTGCAGGGAGATAGTTCTATACATTCTTTCTTGTCAGGAAAATGACTCGTTCCCAACGTGTTGTTGCACAGTGAGAACTCCCAGGGCCCGGCCTCGAGGCGAGAGCCCTGGAGGGAATTCTGCCATCCCCAGGAGCGCCTGTTCCGTCCATCTCTGAGCCGGGAATGCAACAAACCGAGGGACAACACAAACCAGGCTGGCTGCTAACTGCTTGCAGCGACAAGTAATGTGCAAAATCAAATGAACAGAGCTGGATAAAACATCGCTCAGGTTTGTCTCTGGCACGGGAGGAGGGCGTTGCTGCTCTCCGCAATGGGTTACACACTCAACAACAACACCTGATACAAACAGTACAGTAACTACAACAAAATACCTGGAATTGGGCACATTTAAACTTCCTTAAATGATTTTAACTCCTTCTGTTCTTTTGTAATTAAAAAAAAAGAAAATTAAAATAATAAAAAAAGAGACATATTGACAACACTGGACAAGTGAACAATAAAAAAGAAAAATACATAAAGTCTCCAATTCATGGACATTTGGAACAATTTTAATAGCACATGCAGCATTCCTTGATAGTGGGTCTTTTTGCACAAACAAAATTGCAATTTAAGAAGAAATTTAATTTATATTTTCCTTTAAAAGGCTAAAATATATTTTCAAAAAATAATTTTTGAAACTACCAAAAGCACCTGTGCAAAGGTGGAAAAATTAGTTTGGTAACTCTGAAAGCCACAAAAGGACCCACTATCCTCTGATTTTTACTTTTTTTTTGTGTGTGTGTGTTTTTGCTTTGTTGTTTTTTTTTTTGAATCAGTTTAATTTTGTCGGTAATTAACTCAACCATTGCGATTCCATGCAACTAAATGTCAAATGAGGTAAAACTGCTGTGCAGTGTGTTCTTGACTCAGAAGGCAGTAGATGATCATGCTGGAAGCCACATGATCAAGGCTGCATCTCCCATCATCCCTCTGGGCACTGCTATGGGATAGTGGGTCTCTTTGAGGACTTTCAAGCCTGAGTGGGGGATGGACAACATATGATTCCTAGAAAAAGGAGGAAAACAACACATAAGCAAAACAAAACAATGAGCAAATTCAAGCTAGGGAAATGAGGCAGGCATGGCAAGGCATGGAGCAAAATGATCGGGGTGGGGGGGGACATGCTACGGGGATGGGAACGAAACCAACCAAACACAATGGGGGGGACAGAAGGTCTTCAAAGAGACTGGGCCCCGAGGGCAGCTGGGGCTCCAGGGACCCCAGCAGTGCTGCATGTTCAACCTGAGACTGGCCCCTAAGGGAGCTGGGGCTCCAGGGACCCCAGGAACCCCAGCAGTGCTGCATGTTCAACTTGAGAGCACCCCCAAGGGGAGCTGGGGCTCCAGGATCCCCAGCAGTGCTGCATGTTCAACCTGAGAGCAGCCCCAAGGGGCCCCAGGGACCCCAGCAATGCTGCATGTTCCACCTGAGAGCAGCCCCAAGGGGAGCTGGGGCCCAGGAACCCCAACAAGGCTGCCTGAGAGCAGCCCCAAAGGGAGCTGGGGCTCCAGGGACCCCAGGAACCCCAGCAATGCTGCATGTTCCACCTGAGAGCAGCCCCAAAGGGCTCCAGGGACCCCAGGAACCCCAGCAATGCTGCACACTGCACCTGTGAGGAGGAGGAGCAGCCGGAGCTGCGGACACTCACACTGCTGGCTCGGGTCCGTGTCCGTGGTCAGCTTGACGTAGTTGGATGGGAAGAGCCCCACGTGGCCGTTGACCTCCCCCTTCCACCAGTCGGGGTCCTCCCTGTTGAGCACGTTGATGATCTGGCCCTTGTTGAAGGCCAGCTCGTCGTCGTTTTGGGCGCTGTAGTCGTACATGCCGATCACCTGGCACACTGCAAGGGACAGGAGTCACCTGGSGGCTGCTGCTGCCACCCCCACCACGGGCACCCTGCTGGAAGGGACCCCAGGGTCACCCAGTGCCAGCCTTGTCACTGCCCAGCCCCCCCAGCAATCCCAGCCTGTGCATCCCTGGCAGCGCTGTCCAAACGCTCCTGGAGCTCTGGCAGCCTCGGGGCCGTGCCCGTTCCCTGGGGAGCCTGGGCAGTGCCAGCACCCTCTGGGGACAGAAGAACCTTTCCCCGCTCTCCAGCCTGAGCCTGTCCAYGTGCACAGGCCACCCATGGACACTGCCCACTGCCCAGGACAGCTCCAGGACCCTGCAGTGACCTAGTCCACTCAGCCCCCCCAGACTGACCCCAGAGATTTAAAGAACCCAGAGAGTTTCATCGAATCCCAGAGAGGTTGGGTTGGAAGGACCTTACAGCRCACCCAGCCCCACCCCTGCCATGGGCCGGGACACCTCCCACTGTCCCAGGCTGCTCCAGCCTGGCCGAGAATCTCCCACCAGAACTGGTCAGTGGGCAGGAAAATCTGGGAMACACTGGAACTTCCACTATTGGAAGTTGCACAATCCAACAGAAATCCAATCATGATGTCCTCGTTGTCCCACTGAGGATTTCAGAACACAAAAATCTTAGAAAATTAACAGAACAGGACAGCAAGCATCCCAGGCCATCGAGGCTGYCCTTCTGGCATGCCAGGACTGGGTGCAGGAGCTGATTTTCTGTTTCCTTGCAGTGGAACTCCTCCAATCTCCCTGGGGCTCAGAGCACAGCTGCCTCTGCTCACTTCTGACAAAGCACTTTCCTGAACTCTCTGAAGCAGCAGGACTGTTTAGTTAAATAAACAAGAGCCCCTCTACTTCTCTGCTGTTTTATCTTTGCCAAGCCACAGGGCTTCTGGTTTTTCCCACCAGACATGAGGCTTCTATTAATGAGCCTTGCTGGCAGGTTTTTCCCAGTGGATTAATCCTAAAATCTGCTTTTATTTTCATCCTTGTACTGAGCCAGCAACTCACTTCAATTTGCCAAAYAGCTTYTCTCTTTCTTTCTTTAAAATGTGGTTTAATTATGATTTTGATGTTCTACAGGCAATGCAAAAAGTGCCAAAAAGTTTATTCTGTGAAATTTAGCATGTGGGAAAAGTCCCAGATTGTCAAAAYTGAAATAATTTCAAAAAGATATAAAAAATCTCATCATGCTTCCTTGTAAAAGTTTGTATCAATGCTGAGTTATCATTTCAAACCCAAATTCAYGAGGCTTTAGAGAAGACATTTTTGAGATCTTTGTAACAACCAGAGGGACCAGSACACAAACACAGGATCATGGAATGCGATCTGGAAAGCCCCTTCCAGCCCAACCCATTCTGTGACTCGATGAAAATGTTCATCTTCTGTCACTCTTGTGTCCCTTCCCAACCCTTCAAACGCAGCAGAAGAGCTCCCTCTCCATGGGGGGTTTGTCCCTCATCACCTCAGAATAACGAGGAGATCATGCAGGAGAGGAGCTGCAGCTGCCCAGCCCTGGGTCACCCTGACCCTCTGGAGCTCCTGTCCCACAGTCACTGCAGGGGTGGGGTGGGGTGGGATGGGATGGGATCCATGGGATGGGATGGGATGGGATCCATGGGATGGGATGGAACAGTGGAATATCCCAGAGCTCAGAGTTCCTGTCCCATAGTGCAGAGGGATGGGATAGTTTGGGATGGGATGGGATGCTTTGAGGAGGTGGTGGAACATCGCAGAGCTCGGAGCTCGTGTCCTACAGCACAGAGGGATGGGATGGTTTGGGATGGGATGGGATGGTGGTGGAACACACCAGAGCTCAGAGCTCCTGTCCCACAGCACAGAGGGTTAGGATGCTTTGGGATGGGATGGTTTGGGATGGGATGGTGGAACACCCCAGAGGCTCTGGAGCAGCCAAGCCCTCCCAGCCAAAGGAGCAGCAGGGTCCCAGGGACACAGGGAAGCATCCAGGGGCAGCCAGGGCTCACCCGAGGGTGCTGCAGGCTTGGGCAGCTCGGTGGGGGTGCTCTTGCTGGTGCCTGGGCTCAGCAGCTTCACGTAGTTGGCCGGGAACCAGCCGATCTGGCGCTTCTTGCCGCGGGCCTGCGGAGACATGGGCACTGACATCCAGGAGCCTTGGGCAGGCAAGGCAAACCAGGATCTCAGCCACCAGGCTGTCTTACAATAGAAAACAAATGCTGGGAGGAAAAAAACAGYTGCTTTTGTGGCATTAGTTGAATAYTGTAATATCTATAYATAATCTTATTAATATTTCTAATTAAACGCTATTAAATGCTTCATCATGTAAAGAATTACATTGAAATAGAGCCCCAGGTTGTGACAGAGATTAAGAACCCAAATTGCCTCTTTTCTTTTTCAAAAGCAGTGTCCAAACTTTTCAATCCCTTGTGTCACCAAAGCAGGAATCCTCGTCCTGTTATTTCCCCAACTCCAATGTCCATTGCAAATCAAATCCATAAAAACTCCTATGGAAAAAAGGTTCTTCCAAAACTTTGAATTCCAGCTTCTAAATCTGTATCAAGAACTGTTTGAACTGTTTATTCTTGTTTGAGTTGTTAGAACAAGGTTGGCATTTGGGCAGGRAGAATTTTTACCTTTTAAAAACAGATTAATGTTAACTTAGGTGAAAAAATTTCATCTAATGGATTAATTCTTCTTTAGATACTTTCTTCCTTAAATCTTTACTAAAAAAAGAAAGCACTTGATCTGAAGTGTATTTAGATCCTTTATTTTAAGATATTTTTGAATATTGCACTAAATCAGCAATGTAATGCTGAAAATATTTGCCTGATTTTCCCTTGCTTCTGACCCTCGAGTGTGGAACAGGAGAATCAAAAGAACAGTCAGGGGATTGCTAACGAAGTAAAAGCCAACTGTCAAGCCACATATAAGACATTGAAGTATCTAAAGCTACATGTGAGTATTTATACAACCAAARTTTAATTGCTTTAGAGTCTCACAGCAGCTGCTCAGTGACAACTGTGGCAGCTTTTGCCCACAGAAGTTTCTTTTCTGTCTTTAAAAACATTTAATGGAGACTCTTTAGAGCTAAAAGTTACCAACAGCAACAAGATTAGTGAAAGTGAAACCCAGAGGAATCCTGGAAGAGGATTTCTCCACAAAAGATGAAAAAAAATATCACCAGGAAAGCAAAAAGGGCAGGTACAATTATGTTAAAAATAATGAATTAGTCTGAGCATCTGCACTGCAGAAATAAATCCATGGCATTTTTCCATCTCCTGTTTCCTGCTAAAAACCCCAAACCAAACAGTTTGGGACCAAATTTCAAGTTCTAATCTTAAAAAAAAAATTTGAATCCTGTGAGGATCCAAAGCAGCCAAACCAAGCCTCAAAATCTCCTCCTTCCTGARGGCCCTCCAGGGAATCCCTGAGGGATTTCCACCAAGGCCTGATGGCTCCTGCTGCTCTCCCAGGCCACCCCAAGGCCAGGGATGGCAAGGTGTTGGTGTCCTTGTTCTACTGAGAAGTGCTGGATTGCAGGATGCTGTCAAATTTATTTCTCATCAACACATGCAGCATGTTCAACTATTAAAAAATAACCTTTTTTTTATTTAACATGGACTTTGACTAGGAAAAAAAAAAGGAACTAACTTGGAGCTCTCCTTCCCACCAACCACCTGGGTTCTTCTTTCTGATGAGAATCAACTGGCCAGGAGCAAGAGTCAGCTGTTCTGGGCCCGTTGCTGTGTACGAGGCAATAACCTGGGCAATTTCTGGTGAAGCAGAGGAGAAAAAAGGTTAATTTGAAAAACCTGAACACATTCTATCCAACAGGAGTTCTGCTGTAACACCGTGTTATTTCTTTCCATATAACTGTTGTGGATTTATGTATTTCCATAAATGCATGTGGTAACTGTAAGATAAATGAGAGTGCAGAGTACTATAGGAATGAATAAATAATAAACCAGAGGTGCAGTAGCTCTATGGTAGGAGATTAAAAATGTTTGAAATAGGAATAACAGTAATTATTAGAACTATACAGCTCTTAACATCCAGTGTTTTCCAATAAATGTATCTTTGGACTGACCTCTCTGAGGAGAGGAGACACAGCAATGACAACATAAAGAAATTGCATTGAGAGGTGCAAGTTAAGGCTGGCAGAACCTTTTTCACCACTGACCCAAAAATGAATGTTTTCAAAATGCAGCAAGCAGGATTTATCAGGAAATCTTTATTCCATGATTTTTTCACAGAACAGGTGCTTTATCTGGTCCCCTCCCAGCACAAGGGGACAGAGAGGAACTGGGAGCTCACAATTCCAGGAAATCACCCAAAGCAGATGTTGGAGTTTCCTCTGCTTTACCGTGTTTGTGGAAAGGCAGGGAATAATTCAGATCCCCACAAAGTGTCCCAGGGTTAACCCATGTTTGGATCCAACTGGAATTGGGAATTTTTGCCTCATCCCAAGGCTGGGTTTAGCCCTGTCACCAAACCATGTGCAGGGTGAGAAAAACACGTGTAACACACACAGAGTGATGTTGGTACTGCTGAACCCTCCCTGCGGGATCCCAGGACAGGAACTCATCCCTTCAGTATCCATCCCAAAAGAAGCTGGAGGCAGAGGAAACCATAAACCCCAAAAGGTCGGGAACAGAGGGTTCGGTGCAGGGAACAAACAAAGAGAGCTGAAGCCTGACATGGAAATGATCAAATGACTGATGTGAAATTTATAAGGAAAGGACCATTAAGAAAAAAAAATTATCTGAGAAGAATTTGAGATACAAATGAGCAGCATGAGGAGGGTGAGGAAGCAGAGGGATGAGGAGTAATCCAAGGGCACTGCAAACAATTAATAACAGCAGAACCTCCCCAGGGATCCATCAGCAGGGAGAGGGAGGGACGGGGAGCCAGGCAGGGATGGGAACACCACGAGCTGAGTTCTAAAGGTGCTTTACGCCTGGACCTGGGATCAGCACAAATTCATGGAATCCTGGAATGGYTTGGGTTTGGAAAGGACCTTAAAGCCCATCCCATCCCACCCCTGCCATGGCAGGGAMACCTCCCTACTGTCCCAGGCTGCTCCCAGCCCCAATGTCCARCCTGGCCTTGGGCACTCAGAGGGATCCAGGGGCAGCCACAGCTTCTCTGGGCACCCTGTGCCAGGGCCTGCCCACCCTCCCAGGGAACAATTCCTGCCCAGTATCCCATCTGGCCCTGCTCTCTGGCACTGGGAAGCCATTCCCTGTGCCCTGTCCCTCCCTCCCTTGTCCCAAGACCCAGAAGAAGGAATTTCTGTGTAAAACACAGCAGATGCTGGTAGGAGAGTGAAAGATTTAAGCAGAGAAGAAACAGGAGCTGAGCCTGTCCTGGCAAAGGCAGGCGTTTGTTGGGCAGGGAACACAGCTCTGCTGCGGGAAAGGCTGCAAGCTCCCTGAATTTGCAGGATTTCCACAGAATCCCATTCATCCCTCTACACTAGAGCCACAGAGGAGACAAAATGTACAAACAAATTAATGGTTGGAATTTGTGAAAATCAGAAAACCTCCCTTGTTCCCACAACAGTTACAGTATTTAGTAGACCACAATGGAACAGGAAAAAATCTTATATTTTCCATCTCTTCATAACAAGAAATGTCTCATTTTTATCTCCAAAATGTGGTTTACAAGGATTTGGGTATCAGACATCCTCTTCCCCTACCAGCAGCATAAAAGACCTTTACTGGGGACTGTGCTCTCAATAAGGTACAATACAAATCTCATTGGTAACTGTCAGGTCCTGCAGCTCACAGACCAGAAAGTTGAGAGAAAAACATTCAGAAAAGAAAGGTTCAAATAAAACAACCCAGAAATGGGTTCCATTCTTCACTTCCTGAAGGGCTTTTAAATTCTGGGGGTTTTAAGTATTGAATTACTGAGAATAGACCTGAGAGCCTCTTCCAGTGCCTAAAGGGGCTGAGCTGGAGCAGGGCTGGGGAAAAGGGATAGAGGAACAGGACACAGTGGGAGAATGGCTCCCACTGCTCTGCCGAGCAGGAAGTTCACATTCATTTTTAAGCAAGCAGATTTTTACTCTCTAGCTACATGTACTTAAGTGATGGACGTGATAGAATGATTAGAGAGGATTAATTCTTTTATTACAGTTATTTATTAACATTTATTCCAGTTATTTTATAACAGTTTTCATCAGTGCAAACTACTCCAAGGTGACCAAGACCAAAAATAATTTATTTTCAAGGAAAAGGTTTTCTTGCCATTGAATTAAACACTTCAGAACAGAGAGAAGGTGCTGTCACAATGTTTGACTCACCAGGTTTCTTCCCTAAACTTCCCGTTTTTCCAGCTGCTCCTGGAGCCTTGAAATGGAAAACAAGATGCAAGTTTAGCACTCAGATTTTTTTCTCCAGCACGTGAAAATTATTGACAATGCTTCACTCAACACCCTCAATAAGCATGGGAGTCAAAAACTCACAGAAAACTAAGTTCTTACAGAAATCATTAGTATTTTAGATGGCAGTAAATGTCTGGAAATAAGTACCAAGCATGCAGTGTATGATTTGTTAATGCAGAACTGGAGATTTTTATTCTACTATTTTATTTTATTTATTATTTATATTTTATTTTTATTTTATTATTTGCGGTCATAGGCTGCAAACACCAGTGTAATCCCATTTGAATGATAAATCCGTGTATGTAAAGAATGGGAATTCTGTAAAGGTGAACTGAAACAGCACCACAAGTTTTCAGCTCTAAAAATGGCTGATTGCAAATATTCCTGAAAAATCCCTGCACCCTGACAGGGTGAGGTGAGGGATGAACATCAGCATCCAGGCCAAGGGATTGGCAGGAAAAGCCTTTGAAGAGCCACAAGAAATCCAGCAAAACTTGAGATCAGTCAAGTTCTGCCTCCTAAATAATTACTGCAGTTTCCTCCCAGGCCACTGCCAGTTTTATGTCCTGCAATGAAGAGGGTTGAGGTGGCAACAGCAACTTAAATCTAAACTGTGCTGTGGCCAGAAATGTTGGGGAACCATAAATGTCCTCAACTTCACCTTCCTCATCTTCACCATCCTCTTTACAACTTGGATCCAACATCAAATGACCTGAAGGTTTCCACAGAATCCTAATTCCTCCATGGAAAAAGAGCAGTTTCCACCTCCATATTCTCCCTATCAACCTGATGCTTTGAAAACATGGGGCTTCTGGCAGAAATGAAAATGAGGAGTAACAATAGTTTAGTGGCTGAGAGAAGAGGGCCATTCAAACCCCTGTGCTGTGTTTGAGGGTACCTATAAAAATGGATTACGAGATGCATCTTAAACTTTTCCTGGTGTTTCAGAGCTCCTTTCCTGTCCCTGACAGATTATTACGGCTCCACTCCACAAGAGCAGCAAATCTTCCTCTCCTCCCTGCATTCCTTGGGTTCTCCTCAGTTCTCTGCACCCCTGGGAGCTGCATTCACAGAGCAGTGACCCAGGAAAGCCCCACACAGGGACCAGCTGCAAATCCCACTGTAGGAGGTGAAATGGGGAGGAACCACAGGACTGACAGGCTGATGGCAGAATTCCTTCTGCTCTGGGAAGTGTTTCTGGCACAGGAACTCCCCCTGCCCTCCTCAGTAAAGAGCAGTGACTGGACCTTCAACAAAAACCCTCCTCCCAAGCATCTCTTGCTCAGCATCCACGCTGCTGGATGAGCACACGGACAGGTCAAACAGGCTGGGACAGTCACCTCAGAAAGTGAGGTGAGACTTCTTTCAACCAGAAGCTTCAAAACCACCTTGACCACACTGAGTGTGAATTGTATTTGAGGATTCTGAGTCCTCAGTGAAAAAGCAGAAGAAACACATGGAGAAGTCCTACAGAACTTCAATAAAGGACTAAATTCATATATAATGCATTTAGGATGGCCCCAATTTCTGACCCATTCAGGAGATRGAGAAGCAGTTCTTACTCCTTCTGCAGAGAGGAAAGACAGCAGCGARGACAGACCCTGTTCTGCTCCTGCAYACCTCAGACTGTCACCAAACCTCGGAGGGGATCTGGTGACATGTGAGGAATTTTCCTGAACCAGCAGAGCAGAACTTGCCGTGTCACTGCAGTAAACCCCAGCAAGGACTGGCCAATTGTGCTGTTCAGCAGGACCCTTCACAACCTGATCCATTCAGGGATTATTTTCTGAACTCTATGCAAGATTTCATCCCAGAGGAGTTGGAATTGTTGTATTTCCAAGCCCCTCATGAGCTCCATCCCCACAGAGGGAACGATCACCAGTGCCCAGAATAAAACCCTGTATCCATCCACCTCCCCCTAAAGAGAACCCTGAGAATGGACTGCTATCATTGTTTCTTTTAAGAACAAAGACTTTCACACTTTTTTAATAAGCTGAAGCATGAAGGAACAGGGAATGGTTTATTTTAGCAGCCTGAGGTGAATGGGCACAGCCTGGGTACAGAAGAACAAATTAAAAAAATTCTTCTGCTGTAGAAACCATTCAGATTTTGAGTCATTTCTACACACTGCCCTTGCTGCTGAAAGATCACCTCTGTTTTTCTTTTTCTGGGCCTGTCAACAGTACAGAACACATCAAATTATTTCCATTTTCAGAACATTTCCCACCCCAGGCAGCTGTCCAAGCACAGCAGCACATCTGAGTGACCAGACAGGCAGGACTGTGAAATCCTCTGCAAAAACTGGCTCTGGACATGGGCTGGAGAGCAAAACCCCGATGGCCCGCTTGGAGCCAGATCCTGCAGGCACAGGAACCCCGGGATGAAAACAGGGAGCAAGGGCTCCACCAGCTCTGTGCTTTTTCCTCCCTCTCTCATCAAGATTTCAGCTGAAGGTGGGACTTCCACCAGCAAAAAGGGCACTTGGAGCACTTTTGGGTGAACTGCAGTGAGTTGGTGCAGCCCCAGAAGGCTGAGAACAACCACCAAACTGAGCTCTCTGGGAATTGAACACCTGAGCTCCCCACAAAGATGTACCAACAGTGTCCCAATGCCATCTCTGCCAAGGACTGCAATACTGAACATCACTACCCCAGGTTTTTAATACTGTCCCAGAGGATGTTGGGATTTCCCGACACTCCAAAAACTTCCTCCTGAAAGGTTTCCTACAGCTGTAGATTTCACTGCAGGTTTTATCCTTTGGCTTCTCCAGCAGCAGAAATGGCTTGAAGGAGTGACTCTGCCCAGGCTCTGTGTTGCAGTCTCTCACTGAATTCCTGTGCAAAAAGCTTTACCACCCAGACTCCCAAAAATCAAAAATCCAGCAATTATTATTTATTTACCTTTAACACCCCATTACTCCAGAAAGATAAACCAGAATCCTTCTCATCAAGAGATCAGTACTGTACCCAACTCTGACTCTAAGCTAATTCCTACTAGTAGATAAATTATCCTTTCAAACAATATAAATGAGACAATATCTCTCTTTAGAATGTCTAAAAAGAAAGAAATAAAAAAAAGGGGGAAAAAAATGATGCGATCTATGGAATTATTTCAGGATAAGAAGAGATGAAACAAAACCTCTATTTTTCAGTCAAAAACTATCAAACACAGTAGGTAGTAAAGTTTTCTGTTTTATGTAAAATTTGTTCTCCTTGACTGCAAGAAAATGTCAATACAGAAAAAAACACCTTAGAGTGAAATGTTACTCTCTAGATTTTTGGTTTTTTTTTTTAAATACTGGCAGCTTTAAATAAAGAGCTCAGCTCAGTCATTACAAACTTACCAGGGCAATAAAACAGTTATGGCAGCTCTGATCAGTGTCTACAAAACTGCCATGGTGCCTATTAATGTAGGCATTATTTTAATCTATGATCCCCAAAGTTATTGATGATGCTACACGGTAAAATGCAACCATTATTTTTGTTAATTGTCATTGTTCTCTCAGTCAGTACAACTGCTTATTTCCCTTACGAAGCCCTGCCTTGCAGCTACCACTACAACCCCAAAGAAAACATTTCTCTACCTCAGAATCTTTGAGTCTCACATAATTAGATGGGAAAACTCCTGATTTATCACCCAGCGTGCCCGTCCACCAGTCACCATCTTTCTTTGTCACCAGGATCAGGTCACCTTGTTGGAAAGTGAGGTCCCCCTGCTCCGAGCTCTCGTAGGTGTACATGGCAATGTACTCTGGAAAAGGGAAATACACACAGGACATGGGAAAACTCCTGAGGAATCCCCAAGGATCCCTTGCAAAACCTAATGAATGTCATGGAATCTATTCACAGAATGACAGAAAACAAATTGATTATTTATTAATCATAAATCTCAATATTTAATGCATGCAATTGTATCTGTCAAATAGGATCGATCAAAAGGCTGCCTCAGGGGGGTTTGTATAGAATTTGCTATTACAATTAAATGTATAGAAATCATTCATTTCTATATTAGCCATGTTTGCCAGTGGTTTCTGGTTTGTGCTGACGACTAGAATTGTCAGTTTGGGAAGGAAAGTCCACATAGCTTCAAAATCACCCTCTACACTTGAGCTCTTCTTAAATCCTCTCACCAGGTGTTAAACCCCTGCTTGATTATTTCTCACAAACACAGTTGTTTTGAAGTGTTTAAACAAAAGCTGTGCTCCTTTTCAACACAACGTAACACCTGAAATATCCCACCTGTGACAAGACTCTGCATGTCCCCAAGTTCTTTCCCTCAAACAGAAGGAAAACCAGACCAAGGTGATCTTTAAGGTCCCTTCCATCCCAAACCAACCTGGGATTCTATGGAATATTTACTGAGCAAGAGCAGCTGTACTTTGAAATAATTGATTATCTCCCTTTTCTTTGCTGTCCCCTCCTTTTATTTCCTGTAGTGCTCATGGCAGAAGTAAATTAAATGTAAATGTACCTAAAACTGCCCCTAGAACTGCAGTTATAAATGTCAGGTGTGCTGCAGGGATGATACACAAATGTTCACCTGGAAGTTATATTTAGATTAATTGATTTCCTCCGCTGTGATTTAATTAACCTTTAGCTGACTCTGCTCTGGAGTGGATTAAGAGTTAAAGCAGCTCACGGGGGGATGTTCCCCTCCAGCAGAAGGGTGGCAACAGCCAGGAATTCCTTTTTTAAAAGCTTTCAGAGGCCTGAAAACGACTGGTAATTCTGTGTCTGTGCCCCAGGCTCCAGTTTTAAAAAGGAGCTGACCATAAGGATCGCAATAGTCTATAAATGACTGCCCTGCCTTAATTAAGAGCTTTAATGAAACATTGGGAATGAGCTTTGGGGGACATTGAGACATTTATCCTGACATGATGAAGACATGGACAGATGTGCTTATTAAACTCTGTAAAAACCCATTCCAGATCAGAAATTGTTATCAAAATACTGGTAAAACATTTCAAATATTGAAAAAAGTACAAACTACAAAAGATATTGTGTCTTTTCTGATATGTGAAATTAGTCCTTCTATACACACAACATATATAAATTGT